TCCAGTCTGAGTTGACTTTATTTGACTCCAAAAGCAAAAAGCAAAAGACCATCTGAGAAAAAGCCTTGGAAGTATAATTTCCCATAAATTCATTTTTTCTTTTCTATTTTTTTCAAAAAAGAAAAACATCTGAAGCACGACCTTGGCCAAGCATTGATATGTGCTACTGTGATTGTATCCACACTATGATTTATAATACTTAGTAAATTTGCCTCCTCCAGTTGATTTGTCCTGAGCTGTTCAAAATGTCTTCTTTTGGCAGGTCTGTCTGCAGAAATACAGAGACCACCAAAGAGAACAAAGTGAGTAACCAACTCTTTTGTTTGTGTGGAACCTGTGGCAGGAGTGGGGATACAAAGGCAACCCTCCCTCTGCACCCCCCCTGACCCTCCCTATTTGATGACCAGTCTTCAATGTTAGTCTTGTTGGCGGGTTAATACGTAATGTCTTTTGGGAATATTGTTTAACAACACAAGTGTTTTCCCATAAAAATACAGAAAAGAAGCAGACAGAAGAGGTGACATCCTCACAGGAGAAGGAGCTGGCAGAAAAAGATGCCACCATAAGAGCTGTAAGTCATTCATTTCCCTTACAATCCTGATTTAAGCCCTCTCTTTTTGTCTACGTATCTATATTCGATGACTGATGCATGCTTCCTTTAATTTCTGCATCTTAGTTGGAAGAGGAGAACAAGACCTTAGCCAGCGAACTGGCCCATCTTCTGGAGCGGAATGAGGAACTGAAGCACTTTACAAATCTTGATCCAGAAAGTGAGTCTTATTTTAACTTAAGAACATTTTAATTGTTTTCATTTTAAAAACAAAAGCGATTTATTCATCTTGGCTGTACAAGTTCTAATTTTTTGTTACTTTTTTTTGCCAGGAGAGGCTGAGAGAAAAGAGTTGGAGGTTGCAATATTGAAGAAAAAATTGGAAAGGGAGCAGAAGGCAATCAGCCGACTCACCGCTGTAAGTATGTTCCATGATAGTAAGAAATTAGAACAACCTCTGTAAGCCAGATTTTATAATGTACTAACTGTACTTGCTCAATTTCTTTTAACAGGAGGTCTCAAGAGAGAGGGAGAGGAGAAGAGACCTCATGAGAGCCCGGGACCAGGCAATCGATGCCATCTGCTCCCAGTTGCTATCTATACCTTACTCTGAGAGAAGATTGTCGGTGAGTTTTGTCCTTCTGCTTCTGGGAGAGAAATAGACATATTTCAATTGATGACTCTCTACCCCATTCTAAAATATTTGTTTAACAATTTTCAGCCTCTGCAAGAAGCAAATAGAAAAAAATATCTCAATGCGTCAAGAAGGTAAATGATTCCATTTTTAAGACATTATATGTTTTTTTTCCATAGAAAAGTTATCATACAACATTTGGTAGTAAAAATCAAATCTATTTTGCAACACAATTTTTATTCTTTTACAGTAGCTCGGGGTCAAGTTATGACAGTTGACTCTATCGTGGTCAAGAACATGTGGGTTCCCAACCACAGATTGTAGTAGAGATGGAGTAAGTGATTTGATATGTTTATGTTTCATTCTGCTCATAGTCAATATTTTCGGGGAAATGCGATAGGACTCGGGCAAAAAAAAAAGAATTTTTTTGTTTGAATTTTTCCATGAATTGTCCTGAAATTTTCACATTGAAATTAGGCTATAAAATTCAGCCACGAAACAGGAGATTTGAAACAGAATGCCCTCTCTTATGCCATTAGAAATAGAGCTTAGATGGCTTTTCCTGACGTGCTGGGTTGCATTGTTCCAAAGGCAAATGTAATTTAAAAATTTGCTAATATTCTACCTGCTAATTTTTGCTGAGAAGTTATTCATCAGATAAATTATTGTCTCTTTCAACTGGCTCGTTTGGATTAGACAAAAATGCTATTTGATGTGTAATTTAATGTGTTAGTTATTTTTTTTATTGAAATTCTAATCTCTGTTTCAAAATAAGATCTGGTTTTTCTTCAAATACAGGATTGCACTAACATGATTTCCATTCTAACCGACTTGTTTTTAATCTGTTTCAGTGAATTCAAAGACACCTGTACCTCTTTTGGGACTCCCTCTTCTCCCGTCTTAACTCAACCAGGAACAACCAGGACCAGCTGTGGCTCAGAGATGTAGTCAAGTGACATACATCACTTTTTACACCTCTTCCTTTAACCAAGACAATGGCAATTGGTCCCAATTTGGTCCCAACTGAAGTCGTAACATGATGACTACCTGTATTATGAAAATTCTCCTTCACCACCAAATACGCTCCTGAAGAAATTGCTTTTGGCGTCCATTTCTTGTCTGGGGTCAAAGTCAGGAAAATGCTTCCAGAAATTTGAATGTCACGCAGGATGACCGTGCCCTGAAAGTTTCTGCCCTGAGTACCTGGGATGTTAAGAAAGAACACCTCAAGAGCGCCCAGGGGAAAGACATCAAGCGTGCTTTGGTCAATGGCCTTGCCAGCCAAGTTGATACCTTCCATTTGCCCAAATGTCCACCCATCCATTGATGATGAAGTAAAAGATGATTAGGGATCTGGAGGCTAAGTCTTACGACGATTGAACTGGGCGTGTCTAGCCTAACCAAGCAAAGGATTAGGAGTGTCATGATAGCTGTCTGCCAATAGTTGAGGGGCTGCCAGAGAGAAAAGGGGGATGGCCTATTCTCCAAAGCATCTGGAACAGGATAAGAAGTAACCGACAGAAAATCATCATGGAGGGATCCAACCTAGAATGATGGAGAAATTTCCTGATAGTGAGAACAATGAATCAGTGGAAAGGCTTGCCTCAGGCTAATTGGAGAATGTGATTAATGACTGCTTCATGGGAGTGGGAATTGCAATTAGTTACGTTGTATCTGGGGGAAGGGAATCTGGTTTCGGGTTGAACTATGTAGTGCCAATACTTTGTTTCCTGAACAAAATGTTCTTTAAGGAAGAATTCTTGCCTTGAAGTTCTTTTGCTGGGTTTCATCTATCGGAATCATGAGAGGATATGCAAATACAACTCAACAGAACGTTCTCACTTACAAGTGCACCTCAGCTGAGAAAGGAAGCTCTATATTGCTTTCCATGGCTTTCCAAGTGGACATCGATTCGTTAATCTGTTCAGATGGAAGAGTACAGCGCTGTCTCCCAAATTTCAATCGGTGACCTTTTAATCACGATGCAGAGAAACAACAGGCTATACAAAGTGAATGAATGGATGAATGGATGAATAAACTGGGTCCAAGCAATTTCTTCAGGCTTGTAAGCCATTTTGCACATTGGTAAAATCGGGCAGGAGCACGTGACCTGTTTAACAAATGGCATAACGCTGCAACTCTAGAATCGGTTACAGTCATAAATCGAGGACTACCTGTATTATAATGAATGTCAACGTAATGCAGAACATAATTTTTATAGCCTTATTTTCTGTATTTGTTTTCTTGTACAAAACATTCCATCTCCATTATTGATCATGAAGTAAAATACATTTTAAAATAAAATATATTATATTTAATGGAGAAATATATTCAAACAGCTATCTTTGAAAGAGCAGGAGAGGTAATCTAATGCTTAATTCGTTTTTATTCAATGGCCTGCAAAGGCGGGCACTTACAGGCACTACATGATTTATAGCACATACTACAGACTCATGAACCCTACATAAGAAGACAAACCTAGATCACCTTTATAAAATCTAATTTAACCCTGACTTATTTAAATTCTCTCTCTCCCTCTCTCCTTCCCTCCCTCCCTCCCTCTGCCAGGATCTAATTTAAGAGGGATACGGCTAATATGTTCATTTATTCTTCACTTTTGTGTCATTTGGAATGCCTGACCTTAACTGTGTTAAGTATTTTCTCTTATGAGGAACAACGTTAATGCCAGAAGACCGAACAAAGAAGCTATCTCAGGCATTTCGGGGTCAGCCAAAAATACACTGCAATAAATACGATTTCCATATTTTTTGAGAAAGGACCTTTCCATGCAATAAAAGATAAGAATTGAAACAAAATGAAAACTGAATGAGGAGGAGGGACTTTCTCTCAGGCTCACACCAGGCCCTCCCAAAGTGGCACGCTGCTCTTTGGTCCCCACATGAATTGGCAGAGCCAGGTCTTCATGCTCTTTGGAAGGCCGGGAGAGTGAGGGCCAACCTCACCTCTGGAGGCAAGATGATCCAGGAGGTGGGGGGCAATGGCAGAGAATGCTCTCTTCTTAGATCCCACCAGTAGAAATTCTTTAACTGACAGGGTCTGTAACATACCCTTTCCACCTAACTGGATGGGACGGGCTGGGACAAGGCGCTTACTTAAGTAAACTGATCCCGTGCCATGAAGGATTTTAAAGGTGATAACCAACACATTGAATTGGACCGGAAAACAAACTGGCACCCAATGCAACAAGAGATATTAAAAACAGTTACAAAAATAATTTTAAAAACCCGAGAAATATATTACACAATCTTAACCCAAATTTTATTCTGAATAATTTATTTTTAAATCATGTTACAAAATGCTTATAAAGAGAATTCTTTATCAGAAACACCAATAGGAGCATGCTTCATCCAGCCTGGGGAGAGATTAAAAAGGTGGCCCCAGGGAAAAGTACGGGTTGAACTTCTGGAGCAGGTGATAAAACATTGGTTGATGCAGGTTCATTGGTCTAACGGGCCATCATTATCCACCACAAGATTTATAGGCATAAGATAATAAAAAATGGCAGCTGCTGACCAACGCAAAACACAAGAGCTTCGGATAACATGGCTGCCAGAGAGGTGTCCAACTGGTGGGGGGAAGGAGGTATGTCTCAGGCACTGTAGCTAATCAGAAGGACATGCAGCAGGCTATCCCCTCAGAAAGGTTAGTTGTTGTTGTTGTTATCATATGGCATTATTACAGTAGCCAGGAGACCACAATGCTATTGCAGAGTAGAAGTTTTGCTTGCCAAGATACCAGCCCTGTTATATGAAATGCTTGTGCGCTTCCCAAGGTGCATCGCAGGAGGGCAGTGTTATGTCCCGATGGACTCAACAGGCAGGTTGGCTTTGTACCACAGAGAAAGATGAGCGGCTCTTTCTGCAGCATCACCCAAGGCCCCCCGATCACAATGACATCATATTTCGAAGTGCCAAACTCCATATCTGCCATGGTCCCACTTTTCCACACATGCTGAAACCCCCCATCCCTCCCAAAGACTGCCGGTACCACGAGGCAGCACCAGCCATGACCGAAGGGCCACATCCGAGTGTAGGTGAAGGATAGGTAAATCACTGAGGCTCCTGGTAAAACATGGCAGAAACGTGGGGTGAAATTGAGAGCCCAGGAATGCCAGCAGCGTCTCCCTCGGTGGACATTCCCATCTCTTACCAGTGATTACAATGGCTAGCAGGTGCCTAAGGATTATATTTGTTAGGCCTGGGAAATTTTACACATGTACATTTGCAAATGGGCATGACAGATTTCTCTGACATCTTTGCATCCTCAAAGTTGAGGAGAAGCAGATCGACACCTTGTACTCTGGAAACCAGAAAATTATGGGAAATGACTATTAGGAAGTAAAAAACCAAAGCAAAATCAAGAAGTGCCACTGATGTTATTGTTGACAATATGCTGCAAATTTAATTGCTGTGTTATAGTCAACATTGTCATATCATTCATTGTAGCCCTGAATTGGTCTGGAAGTGGGTGAGAGAGAGGCAAACTGCTGCTATGTCAAACTGTAATGGCAGAAGTTTGGGGAAAATATTCTTTATTCTCAGATTTCAATTACTGACTCTGTATGAATGGAAAAGCGTACGGGGGAACTTGTTTTACTAGTAATAATAACAATTAATATGATCCAAAGAGATATGAGTTAATAATGTCCAAAGTAGGATTAAAATACAAAAGTAACAATTAATAGCTAGAGAAAAGGGGGGTTGGAGAAAGGGAAAGTTGCTTCTTGCAAGAGCAAGAATATCTCCAATTCTGCTCTCTCACCTCTGCACCCCTTTTTCAGTTTAAATTGTGCATATTTCTCCAACAATCTCCCTGCTTTCTTCAGTGGCACTAATTTTTCTAAGGTATTTTTCTTCTTACTTCAGCCTCTGATTCCACCAAACGCATCAACGGGATTTTGTAATTACATTTTTCCCAATATTGAAAAATACTGAAATATTGCAGAAAGGAATAAATCTCTGAGTAGCATCCAAACAGCCCATCACTTTGCTTTGCTTTTCCTTTGTGAGGTCACGCTTCATAATGGTGGCGACAGGTAGATGAGCTCACAAAGGAGAAGTAAATAAAACTTCTGGTGGGCTGAATGAAAGCTCTTGTGGGTTTTGAGTAGTGGTGGTGTAGTCAGGTTTTGCTTTTATTTCACAGCGTTTTAATAGCTCAGCTTTTGTTTCTTTTTCGGTATTTATTTTCCTGCTTATTTATCTTTGTTTATTTATCACATTTGTTTATTTACATTTATTTATCTATCTATTTATTATTTACCTATTTATCTATTTATTTATCTCTTTGCATATTTATCTATTCATTTATCTATTTATTTATCTATTTATTTATTTATCCATTTATTTATCTATTTGCATATTTATCTATTTATTTATCTATTTATTTATCTGTATCTATTTATCTATTTACCTATTTATATATCTATTTATCTACTTATTTATCTATTTATTATATTTAATATATTTATTTATTTAGTTTAGGATTAGTTTAGTTTAGGGCATTAAGGCATTATTTATCTTATTTAATACATTTGTTTATTTCTATTTATCTGCTTATTTATCTATTTATTTATCCATTTATTTATCTATTTACCTATTTATCAATTTATTTATCTATTTATTTCTCAATTTATTTATTTATCTATTTATTTATTTATCTATTTATTATATTTAATATATTTAGTTAGTTTAGGATTAGTTTAGTTTAGGGCATTAAGGATGGAGACATTCTTATACTATGCAGGGAAACTCCTGTTTGAGGTAAGGCCCTCTTTTTTGTTTATTTATTTATTTACTTGTCAACTGCGTAACTCTAGGATGAGTTCAAGATTCAAAGAGGTAGCATGACATGTAGCATAAATCATCATCATCATCATAATAAAATCCCTCCTTCTAATTAATTTTTAACATCGCTTGCCTCTTTTAAATTTTATATACGATGCTCGTGTTTTTAATATTGCATTTGTATAGTACCTAGACTGAGGGAAATGGGCAGTTCTTAAATATGATAAATAAACAAATAAATAGTGTGTGTTCTAGTCTTCTGCGTGCTAAACTGCATTGGCCATTAGTCCTGGTTAACCCTAACCCTAACCCTGTCCCTTGTCCCTTTTTAGCACTGGGAAAGGTTCAGAGTGACATTGATCCCTGTTTCAATTCATCAGGTGTAACGAGGGAGGGGAGAGAGCCCCCCACCCCTTCCTACTGTGTTTGGCTGTGACAGATGGAGACAACTGCTGCAATGCATGGATGTGGTCCCTTTCCCCAAATACCTGTTCCCATGACAATCAACCCACTTGCTTATATCACTGACTGCTCCCTCACTAGACACAACAGTGGAACCTGAACAGTACATGTAGCAATGTCTTCTCTGATTATCAGCCCAGAACTGTGTCGGAGAAAAGATGGAGAGAAGCTGGCACGGGCTGACTGATTTAATAGTATTTTTATACTGATGACTCCATAGCAACTCTTGACAATTTACAAACAGCTGCCTAAAATCCATACAACTAGTAGTCACGAGGCCCAGAGTCACCCTACACTAAACCAGAGATGGGAAGATCCTAGCTTCTGACCATGTTGTCATCAGCACGGTCAATTGTTTGTACAGCCAGTTTTATATTGGAAGAAGAGGGCCATTAAAACATCACTTTAACTGCAGAGCAACTAAAGGGCAGCTTTAGCTGTCCCTGCAGCTGGCTGGAGGTGAAAGTCAGGTGATGCCGTGAGGGTTGTTACTTAACAATGGTTAGTGAGGGTCTTCATGCTATGGTTAGAGGGGCATGAGGATGAACTAGCTGATTTGATTCACTCCAACTCTCTAAATAAAATTAGCATACGGGATCCAGTGGAACTTTTGTTCCTGTTAATCCTTTTTCATAAGTGGGAAGTTCTACCATATGTGTATTTTTTTAAAAAACCCAGTTGGTCTTCTGAGTCTAGGATCCCTTCTTTCCAGACTGAGTTGACTTTACTTGACTCCAAAAGCAAAAGACCATCTGAAGAAAAAGCCTTGGAAGTATAATTTCCCATAAATTCATTTTTTCTTTTCTTTTTTTTTCAAAAAAGAAAAACATCTGAAGCACGACATTGGCCAAGCATTGATATGTGCTACTGTGATTGTATCCACACTATGATTTATAATACTTAGTAAATTTGCCTCCTCCAGTTGATTTGTCCTGAGCTGTTCAAAATGTCTTCTTTTGGCAGGTCTGTCTGCAGAAATACAGAGACCACCAAAGAGAACAAAGTGAGTAACCAACTCTTTTGTTTGTGTGGAACCTGTGGCAGGAGTGGGGATACAAAGGCAACCCTCCCTCTGCACCCCCCCTGACCCTTCCTATTTGATGACCAGTCTTCAATGTTAGTCTTGTTGGCGGGTTAATACGTAATGTCTTTTGGGAATATTGTTTAACAACACAAGTGTTTTCCCATAAAAATACAGAAAAGAAGCAGACAGAAGAGGTGACATCCTCACAGGAGAAGGAGCTGGCAGAAAAAGATGCCACCATAAGAGCTGTAAGTCATTCATTTCCCTTACAATCCTGATTTAAGCCCCCTCTTTTTGTCTACGTATCTATATTCGATGACTGATGCATGCTTCCTTTAATTTCTGCATCTTAGTTGGAAGAGGAGAACAAGACCTTAGCCAGCGAACTGGCCCATCTTCTGGAGCGGAATGAGGAACTGAAGCACTTTACAAATCTTGATCCAGAAAGTGAGTCTTATTTTAACTTAAGAACATTTTAATTGTTTTCATTTTAAAAACAAAAGCGATTTATTCATCTTGGCTGTACGAGTTCTAATTTTTTGTTACTTTTTTTTGCCAGGAGAGGCTGAGAGAAAAGAGTTGGAGGTTGCAATATTGAAGAAAAAATTGGAAAGGGAGCAGAAGGCAATCAGCCGACTCACCGCTGTAAGTATGTTCCATGATAGTAAGAAATTAGAACAACCTCTGTAAGCCAGATTTTATAATGTACTAACTGTACTTGCTCAATTTCTTTTAACAGGAGGTCTCAAGAGAGAGGGAGAGGAGAAGAGACCTCATGAGAGCCCGGGACCAGGCAATCGATGCCATCTGCTCCCAGTTGCTATCTATACCTTACTCTGAGAGAAGATTGTCGGTGAGTTTTGTCCTTCTGCTTCTGGGAGAGAAATAGACATATTTCAATTGATGACTCTCTACCCCATTCTAAAATATTTGTTTAACAATTTTCAGCCTCTGCAAGAAGCAAATAGAAAAAAATATCTCAATGCGTCAAGAAGGTAAATGATTCCATTTTTAAGACATTATATGTTTTTTTTCCATAGAAAAGTTATCATACAACATTTGGTAGTAAAAATCAAATCTATTTTGCAACACAATTTTTATTCTTTTACAGTAGCTCGGGGTCAAGTTATGACAGTTGACTCTATCGTGGTCAAGAACATGTGGGTTCCCAACCACAGATTGTAGTAGAGATGGAGTAAGTGATTTGATATGTTTATGTTTCATTCTGCTCATAGTCAATATTTTCGGGCAAATGCAATAGGACTCGGGCAAAAAAAAAAGAATTTTTTTGTTTGAATTTTTCCATGAATTGTCCTGAAATTTTCACATTGAAATTAGGCTATAAAATTCAGCCACGAAACAGGAGATTTGAGACAGAATGCCCTCTCTTATGCCATTAGAAATAGAGCTTAGATGGCTTTTCCTGGCCTGCTGGGTTGCACTGTTCCAAAGGCAAATGTAATTTAAAAATTTGCTAATATTCTACCTGCTAATTTTTGCTGAGAAGTTATTCATCAGATAAATTATTGTCTCTTTCAACTGGCTCGTTTGGATTAGACAAAAATGCTATTTGATGTGTAATTTAATGTGTTAGTTATTTTTTTTATTGAAATTCTAATCTCTGTTTCAAAATAAGATCTGGTTTTTCTTCAAATACAGGATTGCACTAACATGATTTCCATTCTAACCGACTTGTTTTTAATCTGTTTCAGTGAATTCAAAGACACCTGTACCTCTTTTGGGACTCCCTCTTCTCCCGTCTTAACTCAACCAGGAACAACCAGGACCAGCTGTGGCTCAGAGATGTAGTCAAGTGACATACATCACTTTTTACACCTCTTCCTTTAACCAAGACAATGGCAATTGGTCCCAATTTGGTCCCAACTGAAGTCGTAACATGATGACTACCTGTATTATGAAAATTCTCCTTCACCACCAAATACGCTCCTGAAGAAATTGCTTTTGGCGTCCATTTCTTGTCTGGGGTCAAAGTCAGGAAAATGCTTCCAGAAATTTGAATGTCACGCAGGATGACCGTGCCCTGAAAGTTTCTGCCCTGAGTACCTGGGATGTTAAGAAAGAACACCTCAAGAGCGCCCAGGGGAAAGACATCAAGCGTGCTTTGGTCAATGGCCTTGCCAGCCAAGTTGATACCTTCCATTTGCCCAAATGTCCACCCATCCGTTGATGATGAAGTAAAAGATGATTAGGGATCTGGAGGCTAAGTCTTACGACGATTGAACTAGGCGTGTCTAGCCTAACCAAGCAAAGGATTAGGAGTGTCATGATAGCTGTCTGCCAATAGTTGAGGGGCTGCCAGAGAGAAAAGGGGGATGGCCTATTCTCCAAAGCATCTGGAACAGGATAAGAAGTAACCGACAGAAAATCATCATGGAGGGATCCAACCTAGAATGATGGAGAAATTTCCTGATAGTGAGAACAATGAATCAGTGGAAAGGCTTGCCTCAGGCTAATTGGAGAATGTGATTAATGACTGCTTCATGGGAGTGGGAATTGCAATTAGTTACGTTGTATCTGGGGGAAGGGAATCTGGTTTCGGGTTGAACTATGTAGTGCCAATACTTTGTTTCCTGAACAAAATGTTCTTTAAGGAAGAATTCTTGCCTTGAAGTTCTTTTGCTGGGTTTCATCTATCGGAATCATGAGAGGATATGCAAATACAACTCAACAGAACGTTCTCACTTACAAGTGCACCTCAGCTGAGAAAGGAAGCTCTATATTGCTTTCCATGGCTTTCCAAGTGGACATCGATTCCTTAATCTGTTCAGATGGAAGAGTACAGCGCTGTCTCCCAAATTTCAATCGGTGACCTTTTAATCACGATGCAGAGAAACAACAGGCTATACAAAGTGAATGAATGGATGAATGGATGAATAAACTGGGTCCAAGCAATTTCTTCAGGCTTGTAAGCCATTTTGCACATTGGTAAAATTGGGCAGGAGCACGTGACCTGTTTAACAAATGGCATAACGCTGCAACTCTAGAATCGGTTACAGTCATAAATCGAGGACTACCTGTATTATAATGAATGTCAACGTAATGCAGAACATAATTTTTATAGCCTTATTTTCTGTATTTGTTTTCTTGTACAAAACATTCCATCTCCATTATTGATCATGAAGTAAAATACATTTTAAAATAAAATATATTATATTTAATGGAGAAATATATTCAAACAGCTATCTTTGAAAGAGCAGGAGAGGTAATCTAATGCTTAATTCGTTTTTATTCAATGGCCTGCAAAGGCGGGCACTTACAGGCACTACATGATTTATAGCACATACTACAGACTCATGAACCCTACATAAGAAGACAAACCTACATCACCTTTATAAAATCTAATTTAACCCTGACTTATTTAAATTCTCTCTCTCCCTCTCTCCTTCCCTCCCTCCCTCCCTCTGCCAGGATCTAATTTAAGAGGGATATGGCTAATATGTTCATTTATTCTTCACTTTTGTGTCATTTGGAATGCCTGACCTTAACTGTGTTAAGTATTCTCTCTTATGAGAAACAACGTTAATGCCAGAAGACCGAACAAAGAAGCTATCTCAGGCATTTCGGGGTCAGCCAAAAATACACTGCAATAAATACGATTTCCATATTTTTTGAGAAAGGACCTTTCCATGCAATAAAAGATAAGAATTGAAACAAAATGAAAACTGAATGAGGAGGAGGGACTTTCTCTCAGGCTCACACCAGGCCCTCCCAAAGTGGCACGCTGCTCTTTGGTCCCCACATGACTTGGCAGAGCCAGGTCTTCATGCTCTTTGGAAGGCCGGGAGAGTGAGGGCCAACCTCACCTCTGGAGGCAAGATGATCCAGGAGGTGGGGGGCAATGGCAGAGAATGCTCTCTTCTTAGATCCCACCAGTAGAAATTCTTTAACTGACAGGGTCTGTAACATACCCTTTCCACCTAACTGGATGGGACGGGCTGGGACAAGGCGCTTACTTAAGTAAACTGATCCCGTGCCATGAAGGATTTTAAAGGTGATAACCAACACATTGAATTGGACCGGAAAACAAACTGGCACCCAATGCAACAAGAGATATTAAAAACAGTTACAAAAATAATTTTAAAAACCCGAGAAATATATTACACAATCTTAACCCAAATTTTATTCTGAATAATTTATTTTTAAATCATGTTACAAAATGCTTATAAAGAGAATTCTTTATCAGAAACACCAATAGGAGCATGCTTCATCCAGCCTGGGGAGAGATTAAAAAGGTGGCCCCAGGGAAAAGTACGGGTTGAACTTCTGGAGCAGGTGATAAAACATTGGTTGATGCAGGTTCATTGGTCTAACGGGCCATCATTATCCACCACAAGATTTATAGGCATAAGATAATAAAAAATGGCAGCTGCTGACCAACGCAAAACACAAGAGCTTCGGATAACATGGCTGCCAGAGAGGTGTCCAACTGGTGGGGGGAAGGAGGTATGTCTCAGGCACTGTAGCTAATCAGAAGGACATGCAGCAGGCTATCCCCTCAGAAAGGTTAGTTGTTGTTGTTGTTATCATATGGCATTGTTACAGTAGCCAGGAGACCACAATGCTATTGCAGAGTAGAAGTTTTTCTTGCCAAGATACCAGCCCTGTTATAGGAAATGCTTGTGCGCTTCCCAAGGTGCATCGCAGGAGGGCAGTGTTATGTCCCGATGGACTCAACAGGCAGGTTGGCTTTGTACCACAGAGAAAGATGAGCGGCTCTTTCTGCAGCATCACCCAAGGCCCCCGATCACAATGACATCATATTTTGAAGTGCCAAACTCCATATCTGCCATGGTCCCACTTTTCCACACATGCTGAAACCCCCCATCCCTCCCAAAGACTGCCGGTACCATGAGGCAGCACCAGCCATGACCGAAGGGCCACATCCGAGTGTAGGTGAAGGATAGGTAAATCACTGAGGCTCCTGGTAAAACATGGCAGAAACGTGGGGTGAAATTGAGAGCCCAGGAATGCCAGCAGCGTCTCCCTCGGTGGACATTCCCATCTCTTACCAGTGATTACAATGGCTAGCAGGTGCCTAAGGATTATATTTGTTAGGCCTGGGAAATTTTACACATGTACATTTGCAAATGGGCATGACAGATTTCTCTGACGTCTTTGCATCCTCAAAGTTGAGGAGAAGCAGATCGACACCTTGTACTCTGGAAACCAGAAAATTATGGGAAATGACTATTAGGAAGTAAAAAACCAAAGCAAAATCAAGAAGTGCCACTGATGTTATTGTTGACAATATGCTGCAAATTTAATTGCTGTGTTATAGTCAACATTGTCATATCATTCTTTGTAGCCCTGAATTGGTCTGGAAGTGGGTGAGAGAGAGGCAAACTGCTGCTATGTCAAGCTGTAATGGCAGAAGTTTGGGGAAAATATTCTTTATTCTCAGATTTCAATTACTGACTCTGTATGAATGGAAAAGCGTACGGGGGAACTTGTTTTACTAGTAATAATAACAATTAATATGATCCAAAGAGATATGAGTTAATAATGTCCAAAGTAGGATTAAAATACAAAAGTAACAATTAATAGCTAGAGAAAAGGGGGGTTGGAGAAAGGGAAAGTTGCTTCTTGCAAGAGCAAGAATATCTCCAATTCTGCTCTCTCACCTCTGCACCCCTTTTTCAGTTTAAATTGTGCATATTTCTCCAACAATCTCCCTGCTTTCTTCAGTGGCACTAATTTTTCTAAGGTATTTTTCTTCTTACTTCAGCCTCTGATTCCACCAAACGCATCAACGGGATTTTGTAATTACATTTTTCCCAATATTGAAAAATACTGAAATATTGCAGAAAGGAATAAATCTCTGAGTAGCATCCAAACAGCCCATCACTTTGCTTTGCTTTTCCTTTGTGAGGTCACGCTTCATAATGGTGGCGACAGGTAGATGAGCTCACAAAGGAGAAGCAAATAAAACTTCTGGTGAAATGAAAGCTCTTGTGGGTTTTGAGTAGTGGTCAGGTTTTGCTTTTATTTCACAGCGTTTTAATAGCTCAGCTTTTGTTTCTTTTTCGATATTTATTTTCCTGCTTATTTATCTTTGTTTATTTATCACATTTGTTTATTTACATTTATTTATCTATCTATTTATTATTTACCTATTTATCTATTTATTTATCTCTTTGCATATTTATCTATTCATTTACCTATTTATTTATCTATTTATTTATTTATCCATTTATTTATCTATTTGCATATTTATCTATTTATTTATCTATATCTATTTATCTATTTACCTATTTATATATCTATTTATCTACTTATTTATCTATTTATTATATTTAATATATTTATTTATTTAGTTTAGGATTAGTTTAGTTTAGGGCATTAAGGCATTATTCATCTTATTTAATACATTTGTTTATTTCTATTTATCTGCTTATTTATCTATTTATTTATCCATTTATTTATCTATTTACCTATTTATCAATTTATTTATCTATTTATTTCTCAATTTATTTATTTATCTATTTATTTATTTATCTATTTATTATATTTAATATATTTAGTTAGTTTAGGATTAGTTTAGTTTAGGGCATTAAGGATGGAGACATTCTTATACTATGCAGGGAAACTCCTGTTTGAGGTAAGGCCCTCTTTTTTGTTTATTTATTTATTTACTTGTCAACTGCGTAACTCTAGGATGAGTTCAAGATTCAAAGAGGTAGCATGACATGTAGCATAAATCATCATCATCATCATAATAAAATCCCTCCTTCTAATTAATTTTTAACATCGCTTGCCTCTTTTAAATTTTATATACGATGCTCGTGTTTTTAATATTGCATTTGTATAGTACCTAGACTGAGGGAAATGGGCAGTTCTTAAATATGATAAATAAACAAATAAATAGTGTGTGTTCTAGTCTTCTGCATGCTAAACTGCATTGGCCATTAGTCCTGGTTAACCCTAACCCTAACCCTGTCCCTTGTCCCTTTTTAGCACTGGGAAAGGTTCAGAGTGACATTGATCCCTGTTTCAATTCATCAGGTGTAACGAGGGAGGGGAGAGAGCCCCCCACCCCTTCCTACTGTGTTTGGCTGTGACAGATGGAGACAACTGCTGCAATGCATGGATGTGGTCCCTTTCCCCAAATACCTGTTCCCATGACAATCAACCCACTTGCTTATATCACTGACTGCTCCCTCACTAGACACAACAGTGGAACCTGAACAGTACATGTAGCAATGTCTTCTCTGATTATCAGCCCAGAACTGTGTCGGAGGAAAGATGGAGAGAAGCTGGCACGGGCTGACTGATTTAATAGTATTTTTATACTGATGACTCCATAGCAACTCTTGACAATTTACAAACAGCTGCCTAAAATCCATACAACTAGTAGTCACGAGGCCCAGAGTCACCCTACACTAAACTAGAGATGGGAAGATCCTAGCTTCTGACCATGTTGTCATCAGCACGGTCAATTGTTTGTACAGCCAGGTTTATATTGGAAGAAGAGGGCCATTAAAACATCACTTTAACTGCAGAGCAACTAAAGGGCAGCTTTAGCTGTCCCTGCAGCTGGCTGGAGGTGAAAGTCAGGTGATGCCGTGAGGGTTGTTACTTAACAATGGTTAGTGAGGGTCTTCATGCTATGGTTAGAGGGGCATGAGGATGAACTAGCTGATTTGATTCACTCCAACTCTCTAAATAAAATTAGCATACGGGATCCAGTGGAACTTTTGTTCCTGTTAATCCTTTTTCATAAGTGGGAAGTTCTACCATATGTGTATTTTTTTTAAAAAAACCCAGTTGGTCTTCTGAGTCTAGGATCCCTTCTTTCCAGACTGAGTTGACTTTCTTTGACTCCAAAAGCAAAAGACCATCTGAAGAAAAAGCCTTGGAAGTATAATTTCCCATAAATTCATTTTTTCTTTTCTATTTTTTTCAAAAAAGAAAAACATCTGAAGCACGACATTGGCCAAGCATTGATATGTGCTACTGTGATTGTATCCACACTATGATTTATAATACTTAGTAAATTCGCCTCCTCCAGTTGATTTGTCCTGAGCTGTTCAAAATGTCTTCTTTTGGCAGGTCTGTCTGCAGAAATACAGAGACCACCAAAGAGAACAAAGTGAGTAACCAACTCTTTTGTTTGTGTGGAACCTGTGGCAGGAGTGGGGATACAAAGGCAACCCTCCCTCTGCACCCCCCCTGACCCTTCCTATTTGATGACCAGTCTTCAATGTTAGTCTTGTTGGCGGGTTAATACGTAATGTCTTTTGGGAATATTGTTTAACAACACAAGTGTTTTCCCATAAAAATACAGAAAAGAAGCAGACAGAAGAGGTGACATCCTCACAGGAGAAGGAGCTGGCAGAAAAAGATGCCACCATAAGAGCTGTAAGTCATTCATTTCCCTTACAATCCTGATTTAAGCCCCCTCTTTTTGTCTGCGTATCTATATTCGATGACTGATGCATGCTTCCTTTAATTTCTGCATCTTAGTTGGAAGAGGAGAACAAGACCTTAGCCAGCGAACTGGCCCATCTTCTGGAGCGGAATGAGGAACTGAAGCACTTTACAAATCTTGATCCAGAAAGTGAGTCTTATTTTAACTTAAGAACATTTTAATTGTTTTCATTTTAAAAACAAAAGCGATTTATTCATCTTGGCTGTACGAGTTCTAATTTTTTGTTACTTTTTTTTGCCAGGAGAGGCTGAGAGAAAAGAGTTGGAGGTTGCAATATTGAAGAAAAAATTGGAAAGGGAGCAGAAGGCAATCAGCCGACTCACCGCTGTAAGTATGTTCCATGATAGTAAGAAATTAGAACAACCTCTGTAAGCCAGATTTTATAATGTACTAACTGTACTTGCTCAATTTCTTTTAACAGGAGGTCTCAAGAGAGAGGGAGAGGAGAAGAGACCTCATGAGAGCCCGGGACCAGGCAATCGATGCCATCTGCTCCCAGTTGCTATCTATACCTTACTCTGAGAGAAGATTGTCGGTGAGTTTTGTCCTTCTGCTTCTGGGAGAGAAATAGACATATTTCAATTGATGACTCTCTACCCCATTCTAAAATATTTGTTTAACAATTTTCAGCTTCTGCAAGAAGCAAATAGAAAAAAATATCTCAATGCGTCAAGAAGGTAAATGATTCCATTTTTAAGACATTATATGTTTTTTTTCCATAGAAAAGGTATCATACAACATTTGGTAGTAAAAATCAAATCTATTTTGCAACACAATTTTTATTCTTTTACAGTAGCTCGGGGTCAAGTTATGACAGTTGACTCTATCGTGGTCAAGAACATGTGGGTTCCCAACCACAGATTGTAGTAGAGATGGAGTAAGTGATTTGATATGTTTATGTTTCATTCTGCTCATAGTCAATATTTTCGGGGAAATGCGATAGGACTCGGGCAAAAAAAAAAGAATTTTTTTGTTTGAATTTTTCCATGAATTGTCCTGAAATTTTCACATTGAAATTAGGCTATAAAATTCAGCCACGAAACAGGAGATTTGAGACAGAATGCCCTCTCTTATGCCATTAGAAATAGAGCTTAGATGGCTTTTCCTGACGTGCTGGGTTGCATTGTTCCAAAGGCAAATGTAATTTAAAAATTTGCTAATATTCTACCTGCTAATTTTTGCTGAGAAGTTATTCATCAGATAAATTATTGTCTCTTTCAACTGGCTCGTTTGGATTAGACAAAAATGCTATTTGATGTGTAATTTAATGTGTTAGTTATTTTTTTTATTGAAATTCTAATCTCTGTTTCAAAATAAGATCTGGTTTTTCTTCAAATACAGGATTGCACTAACATGATTTCCATTCTAACCGACTTGTTTTTAATCTGTTTCAGTGAATTCAAAGACACCTGTACCTCTTTTGGGACTCCCTCTTCTCCCGTCTTAACTCAACCAGGAACAACCAGGACCAGCTGTGGCTCAGAGATGTAGTCAAGTGACATACATCACTTTTTACACCTCTTCCTTTAACCAAGACAATGGCAATTGGTCCCAATTTGGTCCCAACTGAAGTCGTAACATGATGACTACCTGTATTATGAAAATTCTCCTTCACCACCAAATACGCTCCTGAAGAAATTGCTTTTGGCGTCCATTTCTTGTCTGGGGGTCAAAGTCAGGAAAATGCTTTCAGAAATTTGAATGTCACGCAGGATGACCGTGCCCTGAAAGTTTCTGCCCTGAGTACCTGGGATGTTAAGAAAGAACACCTCAAGAGCACCCAGGGGAAAGACATCAAGCGTGCTTTGGTCAATGGCCTTGCCAGCCAAGTTGATACCTTCCATTTGCCCAAATGTCCACCCATCCATTGATGATGAAGTAAAAGATGATTAGGGATCTGGAGGCTAAGTCTTACGACGATTGAACTAGGCGTGTCTAGCCTAACCAAGCAAAGGATTAGGAGTGTCATGATAGCTGTCTGCCAATAGTTGAGGGGCTGCCAGAGAGAAAAAGGGGATGGCCTATTCTCCAAAGCATCTGGAACAGGATAAGAAGTAACCGACAGAAAATCATCATGGAGGGATCCAACCTAGAATGATGGAGAAATTTCCTGATAGTGAGAACAATGAATCAGTGGAAAGGCTTGCCTCAGGCTAATTGGAGAATGTGATTAATGACTGCTTCATGGGAGTGGGAATTGCAATTTGTTACGTTGTATCTGGGGGAAGGGAATCTGGTTTCGGGTTGAACTATGTAGTGCCAATACTTTGTTTCCTGAACAAAATGTTCTTTAAGGAAGAATTCTTGCCTTGAAGTTCTTTTGCTGGGTTTCATCTATCGGAATCATGAGAGGATATGCAAATGCAACTCAACAGAACGTTCTCACTTACAAGTGCACCTCAGCTGAGAAAGGAAGCTCTATATTGCTTTCCATGGCTTTCCAAGTGGACATCGATTCGTTAATCTGTTCAGATGGAAGAGTACAGCGCTGTCTCCCAAATTTCAATCGGTGACCTTTTAATCACGATGCAGAGAAACAACAGGCTATACAAAGTGAATGAATGGATGAATGGATGAATAAACTGGGTCCAAGCAATTTCTTCAGGCTTGTAAGCCATTTTGCACATTGGTAAAATCGGGCAGGAGCACGTGACCTGTTTAACAAATGGCATAACGCTGCAACTCTAGAATCGGTTACAGTCATAAATTGAGGACTACCTGTATTATAATGAATGTCAACGTAATGCAGAACATAATTTTTATAGCCTTATTTTCTGTATTTGTTTTCTTGTACAGAACATTCCATCTCCATTATTGATCATGAAGTAAAATACATTTTAAAATAAAATATATTATATTTAATGGAGAAATATATTCAAACAGCTATCTTTGAAAGAGCAGGAGAGGTAATCTAATGCTTAATTCGTTTTTATTCAATGGCCTGCAAAGGCGGGCACTTACAGGCACTACATGATTTATAGCACATACTACAGACTCATGAACCCTACATAAGAAGACAAACCTGCATCACCTTTATAAAATCTAATTTAACCCTGACTTATTTAAATTCTCTCTCTCCCTCTCTCCTTCCCTCCCTCCCTCCCTCTGCCAGGATCTAATTTAAGAGGGATACGGCTAATATGTTCATTTATTCTTCACTTTTGTGTCATTTGGAATGCCTGACCTTAACTGTGTTAAGTATTCTCTCTTATGAGAAACAACGTTAATGCCAGAAGACCGAACAAAGAAGCTATCTCAGGCATTTCGGGGTCAGCCAAAAATACACTGCAATAAATACGATTTCCATATTTTTTGAGAAAGGACCTTTCCATGCAATAAAAGATAAGAATTGAAACAAAATGAAAACTGAATGAGGAGGAGGGACTTTCTCTCAGGCTCACACCAGGCCCTCCCAAAGTGGCACGCTGCTCTTTGGTCCCCACATGAATTGGCAGAGCCAGGTCTTCATGCTCTTTGGAAGGCCGGGAGAGTGAGGGCCAACCTCACCTCTGGAGGCAAGATGATCCAGGAGGTGGGGGGCAATGGCAGAGAATGCTCTCTTCTTAGATCCCACCAGTAGAAATTCTTTAACTGACAGGGTCTGTAACATACCCTTTCCACCTAACTGGATGGGACGGGCTGGGACAAGGTGCTTACTTAAGTAAACTGATCCCGTGCCATGAAGGATTTTAAAGGTGATAACCAACACATTGAATTGGACCGGAAAACAAACTGGCACCCAATGCAACAAGAGATATTAAAAACAGTTACAAAAATAATTTTAAAAACCCGAGAAATATATTACACAATCTTAACCCAAATTTTATTCTGAATAATTTATTTTTAAATCATGTTACAAAATGCTTATAAAGAGAATTCTTTATCAGAAACACCAATAGGAGCATGCTTCATCCAGCCTGGGGAGAGATTAAAAAGGTGGCCCCAGGGAAAAGTACGGGTTGAACTTCTGGAGCAGGTGATAAAACATTGGTTGATGCAGGTTCATTGGTCTAACGGGCCATCATTATCCACCACAAGATTTATAGGCATAAGATAATAAAAAATGGCAGCTGCTGACCAACGCAAAACACAAGAGCTTCGGATAACATGGCTGCCAGAGAGGTGTCCAACTGGTGGGGGGAAGGAGGTATGTCTCAGGCACTGTAGCTAATCAGAAGGACATGCAGCAGGCTATCCCCTCAGAAAGGTTAGTTGTTGTTGTTGTTATCATATGGCATTGTTACAGTAGCCAGGAGACCACAATGCTATTGCAGAGTAGAAGTTTTGCTTGCCAAGATACCAGCCCTGTTATAGGAAATGCTTGTGCGCTTCCCAAGGTGCATCGCAGGAGGGCAGGTTGGCTTTGTACCACAGAGAAAGATGAGCGGCTCTTTCTGCAGCATCACCCAAGGCCCCCGATCACAATGACATCATATTTCGAAGTGCCAAACTCCATATCTGCCATGGTCCCACTTTTCCACACATGCTGAAAACCCCCATCCCTCCCAAAGACTGCCGGTACCACGAGGCAGCACCAGCCATGACCGAAGGGCCACATCTGAGTGTAGGTGAAGGATAGGTAAATCACTGAGGCTCCTGGTAGAACATGGCAGAAAAGTGGGGTGAAGTTGAGAGCCCAGGAATGCCAGCAGCGTCTCTCTCGGTGGACATTCCCATCTCTTACCAGTGATTACAATGGCTAGCAGGTGCCTAAGGATTATATTTGTTAGGCCTGGGAAATTTTACACATGTACATTTGCAAATGGGCATGACAGATTTCTCTGACGTCTTTGCATCCTCAAAGTTGAGGAGAAGCAGACCGACACCTTGTACTCTGGAAACCAGAAAATTATGGGAAATGACTATTAGGAAGTAAAAAACCAAAGCAAAATCAAGAAGTGCCACTGATGTTATTGTTGACAATATGCTGCAAATTTAATTGCTGTGTTATAGTCAACATTGTCATATCATTCTTTGTAGCCCTGAATTGGTCTGGAAGTGGGTGAGAGAGAGGCAAACTGCTGCTATATCAAGCTGTAATGGCAGAAGTTTGGGGAAAATATTCTTTATTCTCAGATTTCAATTACTGACTCTGTATGAATGGAAAAGCATACGGGGGAACTTGTTTTACTAGTAATAATAACTGTTGAGTCCGTCGCGAAATGGTAAGACACGAGAAGCAGTTGTAGTTCTCAGGAAACCTTTATTCTTCAGTTCAGCTTACATTGGAATATGGCGGCGAAAGCCCACAACTCGCAGCCTCCTTTTATAGGACTTTCCAGGGTCAATGTGTTACTTTGCGCGCGCCAGTACTTGCGCATGCGCACAAGCACTGGCGACAGCATGTCTGGTCCCGGGCAGCTTGCACCTGCCCGGGACCGCCTGCAATGCCCCGAGCCTGCTTGCAAGGCTCGGGACATAACACCTCTTTCCCCCGGGCTAAAACTACGACCAATGCCATAATAATACACAATCCACTCTTAGTACAATGCTCTGCTCCCCCCCCCAAGTTCGGAGTTCCCCCGTTTCCATTGCCTCAGTGTTTCTACCCTTCTACTGGCTCTGTTTAGCCAATAGTGTTATGTAATCCTCTA